GGCCTATACAAAGGCAGAACTAGAGGAAGGCAGATTTAACTTTTGAATATAGAGGGTTTGTGGAGGGTAGGTTGGGGCCAGATTATGAAGACTGTAAATGCCAGAGATATTATATTTGATTCTGAAATTATTAAGGAGCCACTGGAGTTTCTTATGTAGGGGAATAACGAAGTCAAACCTGTACTTTAGGAATATCATTTTGGTAGCTTTATGGAGGAGCCCTGGCTTCCTGAGATATATTCATATCACCAACTGCCTTTTGGATGTCTCAATCTAGATGTCCTATAGGCATAGAATCATCTTCCCCAGCCCACCTGTCTTCTAGGTTCTGAGCTTTCGTATTACTGCTGTGAGCATTACAATCCTCCCAGTCATCCAGGTTCAAAACCTAAGTGTCATCCTTGCCTTTTCACCCCACATGCCCAATCCATTACCAAATCTTGTCATTTCCCTGCTTTTAAGTCTTTACCTACTTCAATCTACTTTATTCAGTGACCAAGGTGATTTTTCAAAAGTGAAGGCCTGACCATAGCCCTACACACACACACACACACACACACACACACACACACACACACACACACAATATCACAAAAGTATACTTAAGTGGCACCCTATTACCTCCATGGTCAAATAGAAAGTGCCTTGTTTGACACTGGAAATTCTTCATACCGTGGCACCTTTCCAATCTACTTACACTTTACTCCCTACACGCAATCTGCTATCTACCTACATTAGTCTTACTTGCTGTTTCTTCTACACATTTTATCTCTTATCCCTGAGGCTGGCTGTTCACCATGCTTGGAATGCTTTCTTATGCTCCTGACCTTTGCATCTTATTTTCCCTGACCTTTAAGATTCAGTTGAAATTCCTGGCTCTGTAAGATATCTTTCCCGAAGTCCTTCCAGCTGATAGGGCAAGGACTTTTTTTTTTTTGGCCCTTTGTATCCCCAGTGATTGGCTTAGTCCCTGGCACGTAGTGTTTTAATAAACGCTTGTTGACTAACTGAATGGAGGAGAAAATGAAAATCACTGGAGGCATGCCCCTGGAGGAGAGAGGATATCATAAATATGAGTTGCTCTTCTTGAGTAGAAGGACCATCACTTTTTCGGAGACTGAATAGAGGAAAGAATTTGGGATGATGTCAGAAGGTTTTGAGATACAGAGTAGAAGAGAAGGTAAATGATATCAGTGGCTGTGCAGAACATTTGTAGCGGTCTTCTAAAAGGAGTAAAGGGAGAGAATTGGAACACAAGTGTTAGGGAGAGGTTTGGAACATAGTGGGGGATGACAGAGAATCAATTTATAGAGTAAAAGAATTACCTTCCTGCACTGAGTACAAGTTTTTCATGAGTTCTTCAAGCCAGCTGAGTTACCTGCCATTCCTAATATATGTTTGTACTTCTGTTTACACTGTTCCCTTTACAATGGGTATCTCCCCTTCTACCTATTGAATTCCCACCTATTTAAGCTTTGAGCTACCTAAGAAACCTTTCCTGATTTTGTGCCCCATCCTGGTCTCCTCCCTGACCCACACCCCCAGAGGATGGCAATTTTCCCTTGGACTTTTTATAGAAGACATTGTTTGCAAGGATTCTTGAGGGTGGTTTTTTGTTTTTTTGTTTTTTCACCCCAACTCAAATGTCATTGGTTTGGGAACTCCTGTGGAATGGAAACTCCCTCACCTATGGTGACTTGCAATTCAAATGTAATTTATAGTTTTAGAGAATTGCCTGAAGGTATTGAGAAGTTAAATGAGTTGCTGGTGGTCACATTAGTAAATGTCAGAGGATTGACTTGAACCCAGGCCTTCCTGACTCCAGCCTTTTATCCAATACATCATACTATCTCTCATTCTTTATTTTTGTTTAAAAAACAAACGAAAGTCTTTGATGAGTTAACAGCAAAGTTATATAGATGCTTAACAAGGATGCAGAATACATTGATGAGCACAGCTCTCCAGGTCCTCCAGTTCCCCATAGGGATATATGCCCAGATTGGTAGCAAGAGTCATCCACACGGAAGTGAGGAGTTTGTCATGTCCAAAGAGCTTGCTGTCTCATTCTTATGGATTATTTTGTACCATAGTTTATATCATATCCCTTTACTAAACTGTAAGCTCAGTGAGGGCGAAGACTACATTATATAAACTTTTATCTGCCACAGTGCAGTTTACGCAGTAGGTTTTGAATGGATTGTCCCTGGCTGGGCCAGACCAGTTGAGGTGGAAGTTGTAACTTGATATCTACTTCAAAAGGAAAATAGAACCCAACCTTGTCTTCCTTCCCATGTCCCAACTTACTTCTCTCATTTCTCTTTTGTAACAGCCTCAGAGCCAGGTATTTGTAGCAACTGGAAATAAGAGTAGACCCATGGTCGAGAAATGCTCTGAATATGCTTCAGTTCATTGGCTTCTTTTAATAGCTGTTGACTGAAATGCTGGCGTGCCTTCGTTGCTGCCTTCTCCCTGAGGAGACAAGCCCCTTATGATCACAATACTGATTCAGCACTGGGAAAACAAGTGGCATTACTCTGCCCAAACACCACCCCAAAACGGACTTCACACACTCCATTTCCAGTGTCTCATACTTGTGGCTATCATTGACCTCCTAGCTTCCTTAGTACAAAGAGGGGCATATCTTCATAGACAACCACAGAGTGGAAAGGGATCAGAACATCATTTATTACCATCTTTTCAGTTAAGAGTGACCTTTTGGCCCAGAAAATGCCTTGCCCCAAGTCACACTGGTTAGTTACATGGGGACTAGAGAGAAGCCAGGTCTTCTGTCTCTAATACACATTTCATCACCCCATAGTTTCTTTGGTTAGCAGCCTTATTGTTTCCACTTTCAACTGCTCAGATTGAGAGCTGCTCACAGACGATTATCCTTCTCTTGGATATGTTTTCTTGTATCTTAATATTGCTGAATGCTCAAAGTTTATTATTGGTAGGAGAAGGCTTGAAGAGGAGTTTCTTTGGCTGTCATCTCTTTCTACACTACTACATCCTTTACCTATATTCATTTCAAGCCAGAGTAAATTTGAGGTAATGTACATATCACAGTTTGGGGGCAGCTAAGTGGCACAGTGGATAGAGTGCCAGGACTGGAATCGGGAAGACTCATCTTCCCAAGTTCAAATCTGGCCTCAGGCACTTTCTAGCTATTTGTCCCTGGGCAAGTCATTTAACTCTGTTTGCCTCAGTTTCCTCATTTGTAAAATGAGTTGGAGAAGGAAATGGCAAACCACTCCAGTATCTTTGCCAAGAAAACTTCAAATGGAGTTGTGAAGAGTTGGACACAACTGAACAAACCAATATAAGGGGATATTTTTCATATTCTATCTCTGTGTCCCAGTTTTGATGATTGTAAGGAGGACAACTGCCTGCAACTATGCCTACAGTTATAGGAATGCAGGGCAAAGGTCATTTTTTCCACCCCATTCCTCAGCTGTGGTTAAGAGAAGCTCTGAAGCTAGCTGCCAGAGGCACTGTGGACAGCAGAAAGGGATTTAATCGTTCCTACCCAAATATCAGCCTTGGGTATACAAGTGGTGAAAAACACAGACTTCCCTTCAGGGTCTTGTGGTGTTTCATGAAAGAGCTGCCAATACAGAGAAGCATCCTGGAGGAAGCAGTTAAGCCAAGAAGCAGCAGATGACAGTGCCCTCACCTTGGCAGCCTTATCTGGGACTTCCTCAGCTCTCCAGGGCAGGGGTAGGGGGTGGCACAAATGTGCCATTTCCTTTTCCTCTCCATATGGTCAGTCATCTGGTTCTAACAGTCCATCTGTAACTGAAGTGTGAGCCCTCTGGTAGACCTGTTTAACTGACCCCTCCTTGCCCCAGTCCTGATTATAAGGAAAATCAGAGTAATCCTCTTAAGGGCATCAGGTCTTTGTTGGGCCTGATCATTCATCTGGGACTATTTTTAAAATGTGCCAAGTAATTCCGCTATTTGGGAAGGGGGTGCTTCTCCCATTCTACCATCTTGTGTTTCCCCTGGGTACCAAGATTCTTAGCAGAACTCTATCCCCTGGTTAAAATTCCTGGTGGCTAGCTTGCATACGGTGTCGTTGGTTTCTGCCTGAGCTTTTCTGAGCTGAGGCCATAGCTAGGTAGTAGATCTTATTTCATTTATGTTTCAGGGACATGCTGGTTGTGAGTCTCCCTATATTTTCCATCTCCTGAGATTCCTAAATTAGCGAGTTATCAGGGATAGCCTTGCTTACTGATACACATAGTCATACACGTGTCACACGTGCTAGAAATGCCACCTGCTGCTGCTTTGCTGAATTGCTGCTAGACTGCTCCTTCTCTTCCCACTGGCAGTCTTTGGTTCCTTTTGAGGTAGGTTCATGCTGTGGGCCATTTTAGCTCTTTTGTGAGCTAGGCCTACAGCTGTCCCCCTCCTCTCCCCTAGCAAATAATCCCCCAAGTCTGTCTGTTTTTTTTTTCCTTTTTTTTGCAAGGCATTTGGTGTTAAGGGACTTGCTCAGTCACCCAGCTAGTAAGTGTTATGTGTCTGAGGCTGGATTTGAACTCAGGTTCTCCTGACTCCAGGGCCGATGCACCACCTACCTCCCCCTCCAAGTCTATCTTTTTAACCAACTTGATAACTCATAGCAGCCCGAAGAAGAAAGGTGAAACTGGACACCTCTGCCTCTGCAGTCCAGCCCTCTCCCCTTGCCCCTAGGCCACTTACCTTCGCACTTAAACACTGAGCATGCCAGGGAAATATCTCCCTAAGATTCCAAAATCTTAGGGAGGTGTGAAAAACCTGACTTCCAAGTTTTGCCTGCCTGAATCTAAATATCAAAAGATGCTTTTTCCTCCAAAAAAATCTTGGCAAATTTAGGACTAGTAATAGAGACCCCTGCTCCCTTTCTTCTGAGTCACCAGTAACAAGTAGTACCTTTCAAGTTGCGTGGCTGTTTTCTTGGCCTCCTCCAAAGCCAATCTAGCCTCTTCCTCGTTTTTCTGCCTTTTTGCCTCAGCATCCCGCCTGGCCTTCTCTTCTTCCTCTTTCTTCCTCCTCTGGTATTCTAGGCACTCCTCTCTGGCCATTTCCATCAACCTTTTCTCTTCTTCCTCAAGCAGCCTTTCCAACTCCTTTTGCCTTTGCTTCTCTGCCTCTAAGGGACAGAAAACAACAATGATAAGAGCTGGTATTTAATATTTCATTTCAACAACAACCTTGTAAGGTAAACACTATGGAAAGTATCCTCATTTTCAGAAGAAGAAAAGATAAGTTAAATGACTTGCCCTTTGTCACAGATCTGCTAAGTATAAAAAAGCAATTGCAAACATTAGTAATTGCTTTTAGAGGCAGCTAGGTGGTACAGTGCTGGGCCTGGAGTCAGGAAGACCTGAATTCATATCTAGCCTCAGATATTAGCTGTGTGACCCTGGGCGAGTCACTTAACCTGTGTCTCAGTTTCCTCAAAATGGATAGATCAAATGAGCTATTTATTCTTTTTTTTTCCCCTTTTTTTGGCGAGGCAATTGGGGTTTAGTGACTTGCCCGGGATCACACAGCTAGTGAGTATCATATGTCTGAGGCCAGATTTGAACTCAGGTCCTCTTGACGCCAGGGCTGGTGCTCTATCCACTGTGCCACCTACCTGCCCCCAAACGAGCACCATGCCTGACGCATAGTAGGTGCTATATAAATGTTAGCTATTTAGAAAATAATATTTGACTTCAACATCAGGTGTGAAATTACCTTGAAAAAGTTTAGCAGTTTGGGATCATGGGATTTTAAGACCTTAGACACCATTGGCTTAAGTACCAGTATGTTGTTAACCTTTTGGGAATTAACCGGAGTTGAATAAAACATGCCAATTCAGGGGATTGTTGGACAAGGAGGGAGACGAAGGTGAGCAGCCTAGAGCGCTCTTTTCATATGAGTTTTCCAACCAGTCCTGTCCATAACACGTACAAAGAAGTGTAACATACAAGGGAGGGGAGGAGCACGAGTGCACTTCACAAATCAGTGGGGCAGGGATGAAAGAGAGCCTGTGGCCAATGTGTTTCTGGCTTAAATTTGAGATACATTTGAAATAATCCTTCACGAATGATCCTGTCTCAAGGAACTGGGTGCCAGGAAAAGGCTGGCCCTCTCCCACCTGCCCTTCTGGCGTCCTCCTCCTGCTTTTTCCTCTGCATCTCCTGCATCTTCCTGCGGAAGTCCTCCTGCTGCTGCCTGGCGCGGGCCTGAGCTGCTTGCGCTTGCTGCAATTTCCTCCTCTCCTCTTCCTCCTGCTGTCGCCGCTCTTCTTCCAGTCTCTGTTTCTGTAAGCTGAAAAACCCCAGTCTCAGAAAATGGAACGAGAGCCATTAAGATGCTTCAATTGAATGAGCACTTGCTAAATACCTACCATGTGCCAGGCCCACATGGATAATGCACAGACAACAACAATAAAAAATGAGAATTCCTACCCTCAAGAAGCTTCCATTCTGCTGGAAGATGCCTTAGAATAGTGCCACCCTCACTGTGGCTATCCTCTTTGCAAACTAAACCTGACATCCTGTCTTTAGTATAATGGTTCGCAATTTTTTTTCCAGAGTGAGAATCCTTTTTCTTGTCAAAACATTTCCCTGGAGCCTAGGATATTAGTTTCTGCTATTATTATTCATTGATTGAAAAAAATGCATCATAACAAATTACTGTGAATTCATCAGTTCTTTTAATTGCACTTGTATTTTTCCTTTTATAAGCCCAAATGAAACACTGAATGATATTAACATTTAAAAGTGAAGTCACTCTCCTCTATGGGGTTGGCTTTGCCTTCATAGGATTTAAGGGGTGCCAAAAAGGCCTCCTCTCCTGGAATTCGACCAAATAAAAATCCTTTGGAGTTTGTAATTAGCTTCTTTTAAGATATTAATCTGGCTTTCAACCTCACACCGAAACCACTTTCTCAAAAGTTAGCAATGATCTCTTAATTGTCAAAGCTGTTGGCTTTTTCTAAATCCTCGTTCTTCTTGGTCTCTCTGCAGCCTTGGGTGCTGCTGACCACCTTTTTTTCGTGGGTACTTTCTTCTCTCTTAGTTTTGGTGACACTCTTTTTACTTTTTACTTCTCTCACGATTTCTTCTCATTCTCCTTTGCTGACTCACCCATATCCCACTTCCTAAACGTGGCTGTCTTCCAAGACTGTCCTGAACTCTTGTCTTTATGTTCTCTATAATCTCATAGTTGGTGATCTTATCTGCTCTCCTATATAGGTTCAATTATTATTTTTATGCATATGACTATCTGTTCACCCTTAGTTCTTCCCTAAGCTCCAATCCAATCCCCATATCACCCACTGCCTTTTGGATGTTTCAAACTAAATGTCTCCTAGGCATCTCAAACTTAGCAAGTCCCAAGCAGAACTAGTTATATTTCCTTCCTCCCCTGCCCCTTATTTCTATACTTATCTATTTCTGCTGAGGGCATTACTACCTTTTCAATTACCAGTTATGCATGCTTGTTGTCATCCTTAATTTCTCATTCTCCCTCACCTCACATATCCAATCATTTGCCAAATCTTGTTGCTTCTCCATCTAAAACAACTCTTGAATCTATCCCTTTCTTTCTTTCTTTCTTTCTTTCTTTCTTTCTTTCTTTCTTTCTTTCTTTCTTTCTTTCTTTCTTTCTTTCTCTCTCTCTCTCTCTCTCTCTCTCTTCTCTCCTCTCTCTTCTCTCTCTCTCTCTCTCTCTCTCTCCCCCCTTCCTTCCTTCCTTCTAGGCATTGGGGTTAAGTGACTCGCACAGGTTCACACAGCTAGTAAGTGTTATGTGTCTGAGGCCGGATTTGAACTCAGGTACTCCTGAATCCAGGGCCGGTGCTGTATCCACTGTGCCACCTAGCTGCCCCTATCCCCTTCTTTCCACTCACAAGATTACTCATGGGTTACTGATGTTCAGGCCCTCATCACCTCTGGCCTGGATTATTGCAATAGACTAACTGGTTTCCCTGATGCTGTTTCCCCTTTCCAATCAATCTTTCACATAGCTACCAAAATGAGATTCCTAAAGCATAATTCAGACTTTGACATTTTTTCTGCTCAAGAAACTCTAGTTTTCTCCCTAGTACCTCTAGAATCAAATACAAACCTCTTTTTCTGGCATTTAAAACCTTTTACAACCTGGCTTCAGCCTACCTTTTCAGGCTTATTACACATCACTCCTCTTCATACCCTGTATATTCCAGTAAAAGTAGCCTGTTATCATTCCTTATACATCACACTTCATTTCCTGTCTTTGCAAAGGCTGATTCCCATGCCTAGAATGCATTCCCTCCTCAAAATCCCCACTTTGAATCCCTAACTTAAACGCTTCCTGCTACACTAGAGGTTCCCAAAATTATTTTGACCTACTGCCCCATTTAAAAAAAGTTACTCAGTGCCCCCCTAGAAATCTTTCTTTAACCCTTTAATGGTTTTTAAAAATTTGTGTCATTTCAAAAAAAATGACACATCTTAAGTTTAATAATTTATTATAAATTTGTGAGTTTTTTCCTGCCTTGAAATTTTGATGACACAATATTGCATCATGTAACCATATAGTATCTTATCATAAGGAAGTCATTACACATACATACTCCTACATGCCCATGCATGCTAGACTTCCCAAAGCTTGATTGTCAACACTTGCTTGTTAAGACCTGTCAGCAGACTTGACCACTGATCAGCCTTAACTTGCATTTTGTGTGTTTATTTGGAAAGTAATGTAATCACTATGACTTTAACTCTGTTACACAACAGATGAAACACGTTCAAACAGTTTTTCAAATTTTCTTATCTTCCGTTCTTTCCTTTTGCTTTCACCACCCCCTTATTTTTATTCAATGCCTCCCAGTTGTACCCAAGGTTACTGCTGCACTCCTGGATCATTCCAGCACCCCTTAGGGGGTGGTATCACCCACTTTAGGAACCTCCCTACTACATGAAGTTTTTCCTGACTGCCTCCTTCTTCTTCCTTGCTAGCCCCTCTCCACCTTGAAATTCTCTTGTATTTACTTTGTATATATTATATATTTTCCTATATGCATACATATTATTTCCCTCTATAAAATGTAAGTTTTGTGAGGGCAGGAACTCCTGACTTGCTTCCTTTTTTGTCTGTATCCCCAGCACAATGCCTGGTACATAGTAGGCACTTAATAAATGCTTATTAATTGATTGATTGATCAGTTTCAAGGCCTTGAGTTCAAGAGCAGCCCCAGACCCTTACTAGTTAACAAGTCACTTAACCTGGTTTGCCTTAGTTTCCTCAATTGTAAAATGGGGATAATAATAGCACCTACCTAACCAGAGTTGTGAAGACCAAATGAGATAATATTTGTAAAGTATTTAGCACAGTGCCCGGCACATAGTAGGTGCTTTATAAATTCTAACTATCATTAGCTATGATATGATTTATCTGTAAAAGAGTGGTTTCTATCCAGTGGCCTTTCAGGGTCAGCTTCTTAATCTAAAGCTAACTTTTCTAATATTACAAACACCCACAAAGTGTCAGTGGAGGATTTGAACAGGAGTGGGTTATTCCTGTCCATACCCTAAAGAGCTCTTCTCTTCTGTGTCCAGGATTTTCACTAAAATGAGGCCCTGATTCCAGGGTGGCTTGGTCCCCTAATGACTCCTCACGAAAAGAGTTCTCTCTGTGAAGGGTTTCATAGTTTTTTGTAAACTTTTTTAAGATTTAGAAATACCAGGGTCCAATGGGTGAGTGAAAGCTGTTGGACCTCAAGACATCGTCTCTTCGTTTCTTCCCTGTTTTGAAAGGACAACACTTAGAAGCTATGCCAATCAGATGATAGTCTAAACTTTTTTAGAGGCCTGCCAAGAAGGAGATTCCATAGCTTTTTTTTTTTTTTGGCCACCCATTCAAGCACTTAGTGATAATGAGGATGTCTTTCTAAGGGATGTTGTAGCACAGTGAGAAGAATACTGGATATGATGTCAGAAGCCTTGGGTTTTCATCCTGGCTTTGCCCCTTTGGCCAAGCTGGTGTAGACCTTTGAGGCTCAGTTTCCTCCTCCCTTGTGCAATGGGGATAAGAGCATCTGCACTTTGTAGCTCAGAGGGTTGTTGGGACTATAAGGTGCTCTACTATGGGCAGCTAGGTGGCATAGGGCACTGGGCCTGGAGTCAAGAAGACTCATCTTGCTGAGTTCAAATCCAGCCTCAGACACTTACTAGCTGTGTAACCCCTGTTTGCCTCAGTTTCCTCAGCTGTAAAATGCGCTGGAGAAGGAAATAGCAAATCTCTCCAGTATCTCTGCTAAGAAAACTCCAAATGGGGTCATGAAGAGTTGGACACAACTGAACAACAAAATGGGAGCGTATCATTATTAAAACCCTAAGTTGGTCCTTAGGCTCTCTTGGGACAGAGACAAGTCAAATCCCCTTCCTCCATGGAAAGAGGCTAGAACCCAGACTTCACGAGGTCGTTGCCGAGCCATCCTGTGTCCTTCTGCTCCCCACCCCTGCCCTGTTGTAAACCAGCCCGGAGCTTCAGGCCAACCTACCGCTTCTCTTTGGCTCTCCTCCGCTGCTCCTGCTCGAGCTCTTCCTTTAGCTGCTCGAGCCGCTGGTGTTCTTCTTGCTGCTGCCTTTTCTTCTCCTCCTTCTCCCTTCTCCGTTTTTCCACCTGTTGGAGCCTCATCTCTGCCCTTTGCTGCAAGGATCCTTTCCCTGGGCACTTTCTCCTGCTGGTGGTCTACAGGGAGAGCCTGGGAGAGCACAGGAGAGAAGCACCGGGGCAGCAGTTCATTCACGTGCAAGTTATTTTAGCGAGCGAGATCTCCGTTCCCGCTCCATGTTGCCTTTCACCCATGTCCTAAAGCAGATTCCCCACGCCCCCATCAGACTGACCGCTACAGAGGTCTCTGTGAACACATCCTTCCAGCAATGCTGGCCTTAGGGAGACACAGCCGAGGGGCCTGCCTCACATGCAAACCTCACACTCGTGCACATAGTCCGGCAGTTATAGCATTCACTTAACAAGAATATCGTAGGGTCACAGACTGGGAGCTCCACCTGGTCCGACTCCTTCGTTTCACAGAAGACAAAATTGAGGCCCCGGGAGGTTAAGTGACTTGGCCAAAGTCTCACAGACAGTGTCAGAGGAAAGATTTGAAGCCAGGTCCTCTGATCCTGGAAGCAGGCAGTGTTCTTGCCACTACATCATGATGTCTCCTTCTATTTACTGATATACACATATACACACATATTGTACACACATGTGCATGCACATACTTATACACATGTGTACATATACATATGATACACGCCATGCATACATGCATACATTATGTGCGTACATATCGTATATATTATATACATGATCTGTATATGTGTGTATATGTACATATTGTCTACATAAGAGACAGTATATTCATACATATCATACACATATACATACACACGTTATACCCACACACATAAACACACAGATATACACATGTGCACATAGGCATGTATAAGTACCCAACACACATATAATATATACACATACACACATCATACCCACACACATGCACACACACAATGTACATAGCATGTATATGTATACAACACACATCATATATACATATACACACATTAGACCCACATACATTTACCTACAAAGGTATACACATGTGCACTTAGGTATACACACACACACACACCCCATACACATATATAATATAAACATACATATACCCATATACATGCACACACAGATATACATGTGTGCACATATATGTTGTATATGCAGATATACACATACCCATATGCATACACACATAGACATACACATATGCACATAGATATAGAAATGATACATATACATATATAATATATACATACATTATACCCACATATATGCACACATAGATATACACATATATACACCAGCATATGTACACACAATAACAACACACACATACATGTATATATTATGTGTACACATTGTATATTATACACACATGATATGTATATGTGTACATAGTATCTATGTAATAGTACATTAACATGTTAATATATACAGACATATGTAGCAATTGTACACACAACATGTACATTATGTATCTTGTATGAAACATGTATGTGTCATGTATATACATATATGTATATACATATAGATATAGATGCCTATGCATACATATATCTCTATCTCTATCATCTGTCAATCTATGACACTAGGCTAGGCATTGGAGATAGAAGATAAAAAAATGAAATGATTTCTGGCCTTGAGCTTACATTCTATCAGGGAAACAACAGGTATGCATATAAATGAATACAGAATATATCCAAAGTAAATACAAGGTAATTGGGAGGGGGAACTCTATGCTGGGGAGATGAGGACAGGACTCATATAGGGAGTGACACTGAAGTTGAGCTTTGAAGAAAGCAAAGGTTTTTAAGAGGTGTAGGTGAGAAAGAAGTATGTTCCAGGCATAGGAGAATAGCCCTTGGAGGTAGGAAATGGAATGCAGTATAAGAAAACAAACAATAGGCTGAGAATGTGATGGAGAGGAACATATAGGTGGTTCCCCAGAAGCATTCCCATAAAATCACAAAACATTCCAAATTGAAGTCTAGCCAAAAATTTCTCCAATGGGTCCCTGCAACTGCACAGGGCACCTAAAATTTCTCCAATGGATCCCTGTAACACATTAGGCATTCCAAATGGAAGTCTGAATTCATACCGTACTAAGATAAGTAGGTTAGCTAGAGAAGAAATCAAACAACCTTGGAAAAGGACCCACATGTTTGGGGCTTCCAGAAGAGGTGATTAAATACTTGGGGTCAACGTATTCAGAGTTTCTAGGCCATCAGACAGACCTTACCCTATGGAGCTTCAATCCATAAGGCTCTTGGACAAGTTGCCCATACCCATGTTACAATATAGGTATCTAATTGTGCTTAAAAGTAAAATAAAATTAGTGTGGTTGAGCCCCCAGAGAATGCTCTTAATACCTTTATCTCTTAAGTCGTGAGACACTCCTTTAACTGGAGTTCTCTCTGTGGCTCTAGGATCATTTCTAGGTACCCATATTCTAGAGATAGCTCATAGCAGGTTCCACATTCATAATGGACTTTATACAACAATGATTAGTACTTAAGAATTAAACCGTGCAAAAGTTTTTGCAAAGCAATTGCTCTGATTTATAAAAGAAGCACATCAGAAAACTAATTACAGCCTGAAAACTAAAGAAAATACCAAGAGATCCCTTCCCCACTATGCTGTGCTCTGGAAGAGATGCACAGGGGAAAAGGTAAAAGAGCCAGTTTTCAAGATCTCAGAACTTCTTCAAAAGCTAAGTCCTTCCCCAGAGCTGACTTCTAAGAACCCACAGTCCACAGAGTAGAGCCAGCTTTCTTTTCTTTTTTTTTTTAATATAAATTTATTTATTTTTAGTTTTCAACATTCACTTCCACAAGTTTTTGAGTTTCAAATTTTCACCCCATCTCCCCCTCCCCCACCCCAGATGGCATGCATTCTGAATATCCCTTCCCCTAGTCTGTCCTCTCTTCTATCTCTCCCCTTCTCTTATCCCCTTCCCCTTCTGTTTTCCTGTAGGGCAGGATAGACTTCTGTACCCCATTTCCTGTATTTCTTATTTTCCCGTAGCATGTGAAAACATTTTTTTTAAACATATGTTTTTAAAACTTTAGGTTTCAAATTTTCTCTCTTCATCTCTCCCCATCCACCCTCATTGAAAAGACAAGCAACTCAATATAGGTTGTACATGTGCAGTTATGCAAAACACTTCCATAGTAGACATGTTGTGAAAAACTAACTCTATTTCCCTTAATCCTATCCTGCCCTCCCATTTATTCTATTCTTTCTTTTGACCCTGTCCCTCCTCAGAAGTATTTACTTCTGATTACCCCTCCCCCAATCTGCCCTCCTCTCTATCATCCCCTGATCTCTTGTCCCCTTCTCCTCCTATTTTCCTGTAGGGTAAGACAGATTTCCATACCCAATTGAATGTGTATGTTATTCCCTCCTTAAGCCAAATCCTATGAGAATAAGATTCACTCATTCCCTCTCACCTTCCCCTGTTTCCCCTCCACTGTAAGAGACTTTTCTTTTCTGGTTGTTTTGTTTTTGTGAGATAATTTACCCCATTCTACCTCTCCCTTTCTTCTTCTCCGAGTATAACCCTCTCTCATCCCTTAATTTTATTCTCCAGATATGACCCCTTAATCTTCAGCTCACCCTGTGCCCTCTATCTATCTATCTATCTATCTATCTATCTATCTATCTATCTATCTATCTGTCTGTCTGTCTGTCTGTCTGTCTGTCTGTCTGTCTGTCTGTCTATCTATCTATCTATCTATCTATCTATCCATACATATAATTTTTCCCCTGACTAATACTAACAAAAGACTCATGAGTTACAAATATCATCTTTTCATGCAGAATGTAAATGGTTCAACCTTAATAAGTTTCTTATGACTTCTCCTTCCTTTTTAACCCTTCATGTTTCTCTTGAGTCTTGTATCTGAAAATCAAATTTTCTATTCAGCTCTGGTCTTTTCATCAAGAATGCTTGAAAGTCCTCTGTTTCACTGAATGTCCATTTTCCCCCCTGAACGCTTGTACTCAGTTTTGCTGGGTAGGTGATTCTTGGTTGTAATCCTATCTCCTTTGCCCTCCGGAATATTATATTCCATGCCCTCTGGTCCCTTAATGTAGAAGCTGCTAAATCTTGTGCTATCCTGATTGTGTTTCCATAATGCTTGAATTGTTTCTTTCTGGCTGCTTGCAATATTTTCTCCTTGGGAACTCTGGAATTTGGCTACTATATTCCTAGGAGTTTTCCTTTGGGGATCTCTTTCAGGAGGTGATTGGTAGATTCTTTTAATTTCTATTTTGCCCTCTGGTTCTAAAATATCAGGGCAGTTTTTCTTGATAATTTCTTGAAAGATGATGTCTAGGCTCTTTTTTTTTTTTTATCATGGCTTTCAGATAGTCCAGTAATTTTTGAATTCTCTCTCCTGGATCTATTTTCCAGGTCAGTTGTTTTTCCAATGAGATATTTCACATTGTTTTCAATTTTTTCATTCTTTTGAATTTGTTTTACAGTGTCTTGATTTCTCATAGAGTCACTTTCTTTTCCATTTGGCCAATTTTGCTTTTTAAAGCATTCTTCTCCTCATTGGCACTTTTACCATTTGGGTTAGGCTATTTTTTAAGGTGTTATTTTCTTCAGTATTTTTTTGGGTTTCCTTTAGCAAGCTATTGACTTGTTTTTTTGTGATTTTCTTTCATTACTTCAGTTTTTCCACTACTTCTCCATTTTGAGCTTTTCCATGGCCTGGGACTGATTCATATTTTTTCCTGGAGGCTTTGGATATAGGAGCTTTGACTTTGTTGTCTTTTTCTGGTTATGTTTTGATCTTCTTTGTCACCAAACTAAGATTCTATGGTCTGACTTTTTTTGCACTGTTTGCTCATGATCCCAGCCAATTATTTGACTTTCAAACTTTTTGTTAAGGTAGGGGTCTGCTTCCAGTGTGGAGAATGTACTGTCCTAAGCTTTGGGGGTTTTGTGCAGCTGTTTTCAGAGATACTTCTAAGGACCTGTAAATTTTCAGTTCTTCCAAGGTGGTATGATCAAGGGTGAGGTGTTTACTCCTTTCCTGGCCTGTGCTCTGGTCTGTGAGTGACCACAAGCATTCTTTTCTGTCTTGGAACTGTGAGGAGAATTTTCCCTGCACAGCCACTACAAGCTCC